CGTAAATTCGACAGTTGAGGTCTTTTTTCTCTCTTATTACTTTGCATAAGCACAATCTTACAAACATATTAAATGTATAAAAATTTATTTATATGAAAAATTATGAAACTTTATACAGATGAGTCAAAGGCGAATGCCCAAGAGTGAGCGGATTTGATTCTCGATTTCATCCGTTTGCATCCTCTGTCTCTCTCTCTTTTAACGAAGAATATATATACAAAAACAAAAAATAAACTGTTATAAACTTCCTCGGAACATTGACTTTCTCCTTAGGGTTCGCCGAGTTATGGCATCGTACACCGGACGCATCACAAAATGCCACAACAAGTATCTTGTGTCTTAAAAGACGACGACTGAAAAAAAATATTGTCATATTCCTTTTAAATCATCGAATTTTTGTTATTCGACACTGAACAACCTCGTCAACTTATTTGTGTCGTTAATTGCAACGTCATTAACTCTCGAACATCGAAGATTGCGTAAATCGCTTACCTAATACTAAAAACATAATCTTCCAGACAGGCACTTGCTTGATTGTATGTATATCGCCTTAACTTAATTAAGTAGATACACTCTTCCCGTAAAAGGAAGTTTGTTTTCACACTTGTCACTTTCACATTAATCGAACGGCAAATCGATCAACAAAGTTTATTCACAGCTGCCAAATGTATAAAATAAGTTTGCGTTTGCCATCAGCAATATTATTTGCGATTCACTGAATAAATAAATCACAAAAGTCACGTGTCTGAAAAGACCATAGATCGCCATTCAGACGATGCTGATATCCGTGCAGATAATTCGCTCAGTAATACTTGTCTTGATCGAGATCGGCACGGATATGTTGCTGGCCGTGACTGTTACGCTTCAGGGTGGCGGATTCGTAGTCTAGACTCTTTGGATATAACTTGGGACTGCCAAGGCCGTTGACATTGGGATTGTTCTTGTTGCGTAGAGTTCCGTTTCCATTGGTGCTGCCCGAAAAACTGGGCTGTCGCTTTGCGTTTACCTACAAGAATTAGCTTCCTTGAAGTATGCTAAGAATTGCATAGCACACAACTAAACACACTCCTTCGAGTCTTACCTCTTTCAACGGCACGGTGACGTAAGAATTCTGTTTACTGATATAATGTGGACTCCCTGGAATGCTCGACTTGCGTCGCTTCACGTAATAGAAGCATAACATCACGGTTAAGGCTATGCCAATGATGAAACTGGCCACACAGCCGCTCGCCGCCGCGCCCACCGTGACGCCCAAAGTCTCCACGCTTGAAGGCAAGGCGTTTACATCTAAAAGAAGCACGTGCAGTGTTTAGTAATACTAAACTTCAATTAATCTTCAATTAAAGATTGTTCGAATAAATTGTGTCAGATATTGCATACATAAGTTGAAATTATAACTTGAAATTATTTCTGTAATCTCACCATTATCCGAGCAGTCCGGAAGACAATCGCGTGTTTCACGAGTCAGTCCCTGACACATGCCAAGTCCATGCTGAAGACACGTTCGCTTCCGGTGTTGCTGACGGTCGCCATCGCAAGGAGTCCAATGCGACCAAGTGTCCCAACCGGCAAGCGATTCACAACTGGCTATTTCGCAGTTTTCTCTGGCCATTCTTGGACCATTGCAACTTTCTGGACCGAGGCATTCTCTCGTCCTCGTACGCACTCCTATACCACAGGTGGCCGAGCACTCGGACCATTCCGTCCAACAGGACCATTGACCTTCTACTGTATTGCCATTGCCAGAATTCACGTTACATTGATGCGAATTGCAGACTCTGTTCTGTGTACTGAGACCAATATCGCAAGGCGGCGCTTCGCATTGTCTCGTCTGTAAAACGTGGCACATATTTCTATGTTATGTAATTATCAATAAACTAAAATATTTAAATCATTTTGCTATTTATTCCAGTTCATAAAATTATAAACAATTCTTTTGCGATTAATATTTTTATTTATTTATTTGTATTTTATTTTAAAAATTTTATTTTGTAAAATATTTTAAATATAAATAAAATAATCAAGAATATCAAATTTTTGAAATACTTCGTAAAACGATATGATTGGACAAGATTATGTGATGTAATAAATATTTACCCTATGCTGAATACCTCTTCCACAAGGACGGCTGCACGAGCCCCAAGAAGACCATTCACCCCAGCCACCCTCGTTGGACTCCACGTACGCATCTTTCCCTCTTAAGCAGGACCCGTCATTCCTGCAGAAACGTTCTTCCTCCTTGGCGAGTTGCACTCGCACGCTCGAAGGATCATACGTCTGCGCACGACAGCTGAATCGGAAACGTTTCTCCAGATAAACCGTGCTACCGCTTTGCAAACTAGAATTCACGGCCAACCAAGGAGTCCATCCGGAGTACCGCTTCGTTTCAGCACATTCATGAGTATTACAATCCTCGATCTAAAAATATGTTTAACTTTAGCAAGTAATTCCTACACGTTTTCCAAAAAGAATCCTATTGAAAAAAATCCAAAAGAGAAGACATCTCCCGTAAAAGGCTTAAGACTTGCCTGAAAATCGCATCCTGGACATTCGATACCACTTTTCTTCGGCGATGGACTGTCGCACATTCTCTTTCTGACGCGTATTCCTATAAGATAAGAATATAGTCTTTTTATAAAAAAAAAATCTTGAAGAATATATTTCCGTGTTATCTCAGAAAGCACGAATATTTAAATTCGCAAATCTTTCATTCTTGGAGGTATTTTTTGAATGTCTCGAGATGCTAATTAATTTTTGTGCTGTTTGAGATATTACCGCGATTACGATGATATTTAAGATACTCACCGCCGTTGCACGGTTTCGAACACGCCTGCCAGGGTCCCCAGGCCGACCACTGACCATTTTGAGGCGGCGGATTGGCTTTGGCGGGAACGGGACAGGGCGGCAGATCGATGCACATGATATCGTCGTGATCGTGCCCGACGCAAACTCGTCCGCCGAATGCAGGCGCCGGATTCGTGCAGGTTCGCCGGCGGGTTTTCATCGCGAAACCGCAGGTCTGAGAGCACGACGACCAACCTGACCAAGCGGTCCAACCGCCGTGTACGGTGCAATTTGTCACTCTGACACGCGCACCCGTGCAACTCTCGCCACCGTGCTGTGGTGGTGGATTATTGCATTCCCTGGTCTGACACTGACACGTGTCGATCTTCTGTAGAAATCGGATCTCTAGCATTACTTTCAATTCTATTGACTTCAGGATAGAAGCGACACGTATAATAGAAGCTGTCTATTACAATATTTCGCGAAAAATCATTTATCGCTAAACACATTAAGACCGATATTCATAGTCCGTTCTTATATTTAAAATCGTCATAAGTAAGTTTACACAGCTACCTCATTATTGATGGAAATGCAATCTTAAGACAATCTTAAATATAAAACTGGCTAATTCTGGATTCGATTCGTTAGTTCGTTTAAATTCACGATCGATTTCCTCTTGAGAAAGAAAAAGGAAATTTCCTCAATGTGCAAGCTTAAATGTAATAAGCAAACATACGAACCTCTGTGTGTTCGCTATGTGAATGCGAGTGAGCGTGATGTTCGGATGATTGTTCTCCTGTGCTGTGCTGGCAGGGCGACCATGGACTCCACGCACTCCAGCCTCCGTCGACAGGATCGGTAAGCACTGGACATTTGGTGACCTCCTGATGCCAATGATTCGCCAAATAATCCTGCTTCGGTGCCTGTGCGCACTTCATGAGATGCTCGTTCCACCCGCAATATGGCTCCTGGGCGTTCAAGCACGCTTGACGGCTCCGATGACGGTGACACTGAACGGCAGGTATGCTAAAACGACAAAAGACATAGCGAAACGTAATTTACAATAAAACAATCCAGTAACTATCTGGGGTAATGTAATTTAAATGCTTTTACGTTTCATTTTTCTGTCGAGAGTAACGTGTTGTTTACAACGTCTGATAAAATTTTGCAATCACTCGATGAGAGACATTGTTCTTACCGCAAGAGGCCACTTTCCATGCCGACATAGAGACTCTGTGTGTCTTTGAGGAATTGCAACGTCAGCGGTGGCGAGGGCAAGGGTCCCCAAACTTCGACGATGCAGGTCTCCTGCGTTCTAGGCAGGACAGAGATCTTCTTGATCAGACCGGTCGCCGTGGCGACGTAGAGAACGGTCACGCTGCGATGGAGCTTGGTCGGAGTAACGTCCACAGCGATGTGAGTGAACCGCTCGAGAGTCGCGGTGTGCAGCGGTTCCAGCATCGTGCTCTGCACCGCGTCGTCCATCAGCTGGTACCACTGACTGTCAATGACCTGCTGCGGATTGGTGCTGGATAGAGGTCCGCAGCTTTGATGATGACGATGGGTGATCGGTCGTCTTTCCCAGGCGGCGCCCGCGTTTTCCTGATGCTTGAAAGGCCCGTTAAAACTCGCGGCGACGGCCGACATGTCGAACGCACAGATCGCCGAGCCCGCGATGCCGTTACTGCGATGATGGGGAAAAAAAAAGGATTCCATTTAATGCCGGTTTCTTCGCCAGAGTGACCGCGGCTTCCGTATCCGAAAAGGCATTCCGTTCAATCAACGCAATAAAGAACGTTAAGAGGAATCGTGCCTGATATAATGTTAGCAAATTATGAAGTCCGAATAACTTTGGCTATTAAATCGTATAAATCGTTCAACGGTATAAATTTCCACGTAAACATGCCAAGGGAACCTAATGAGCCAGATAGAATATAAATAAAACTGCCAATATTTCGACTATGTTAAATATCTGATTGCTTAATTAAGGTTAAGCAATATCGCTTCAAATCTCTCTTTCATAAGTATAACGTATAATGTTGACTGAGCTTGATGCATAAATCAATCTAAATCAACGAAATAAAATCTGCGTCGCATATCGCATAATCAATTTGTCATTTACCGTCTCCTGCGTCCACCTTGTGGGATTGTGCACAGACATAAACACAGACGATAATTAATGCGCCTTCGAATTAATCGGATCGCTAAACGGTACTCACATTGGAGTCGTGAAGGTCGCATAAATCGTTCCCTCTTCCGGATGATAAGCCGCGCCTTGGATCTCATCGTAGTAGAATGGGAATTCGCCAGGTAGAGAACAATTTAAACGAGCTTTGCTGAAAGTCGTCCACACGTCCTTCACCATGTACCACGTCTCTCCACCACCTCGGTCGTTCTTACAAACCCTTGCTATCCTCGAGTATATTTTCTGCAACCATACATCGTATTCGGCATTAACGAACACGTACGAAGTTCAAGAGTGCCAAAGAGTGCAACTAACATTCATTCGTTTGATAAAAAAAAATTAAAAGATAAACGGAGGACGTTTCCTGGCATTTTCAAATATCTCGCTGACTTTTGTTCGAGACGCGGCGTCGAGTGAATCAATCTAGCACGTTGCAGCG